TGTGCTATTGACTTGTCTGGTAATAGAATGAGGAGCCACAGTAGAACTCCAGGCCCAGATCGTTAGCCAGTACTCTGCCCATAAACCAGTGTTCTCTACCTAGCTGCACCCAGAACCATCTGGGGAGCTTTAAAAAATACTGCTGCCTGAGTCTCATCTCCAGAGATTCTGACATAATTGGCCTGGAGTGTGGCCCCAGGCATCAGGGTATTCAGAAACTCCCCAAGTATTTTAACGTCCAGCCAGAATTGAGAGCCACTCTTCTCGATGACAGCTTTACCGTAGAGACAACAGAAGAGGAGAAACACAGTTAAATCATACCTGAAATGAGAGTTATTTAACCTCAAAAATGGCTTCCTTCATAAGTTATATGTCTCCTGCCAAATTGTGGAAATCTATTCATATAGGTTTGGGAGTCATTAGAACACAGATATAAATTGAAGCCATAAATGTAGACAAACTAGCTCCTGCAAAGCATGTAGTGAGAAGAGAAAAAGGCTAAGAACAGAGCCCTGGGGATGATATTTAAGAGATGTGCAGAGGAAGAGCAGAACAGCTGTAGTAAAGACTATTTCCAGGGTTTTTAAATGCCAAGTGCTGCCGAGAGGCTATGTAGAAGAACTGAAAAGCGTCCAGTGCATTCAGCAGTAAGTCCTCACCGAACCTTCATGAGAGAATACCGGTGTGGTAGTGCAGGTAAACCAGATTTCAGTGATGGAGGCAAATGTGGAAAGTAAGGAAGTGGGTACAATCTATATGGATCTTTTTACCGAAATTTTGGCTTTAAAAATCTATCAATGTGTTTTCAGCTGTAAGCATGAGAATATCCAAATAAAAACGACTTACACAATAGAGACCCTCCCATTCAACACACACACCTACACACAACATATACCAAGAAGCCCAGAGGTGCGTGGGTCACACCTCTAGTTGGCTTCTCTGGGATCCTCTTGGCCACCCTTCATGGTCATGAGATGGTAGAAGCAGCTCCAAATACCAAGTCCTCACATGACAACGTCTAGAGGGATAGCTCTCCTCATGTGCCTCTCTCGTCTTTTTAGATAGGAAGCCTTCCTGAAAGTCCCCAGCACACCTGCCCTAATGACTCATTGGCCCTTACACTTATATCCCCCTCCCTCAGCTACAAGGGAGTCTCAATGAGTGAACATCTGGCATTTTTTTCCTTTATATTGGGAGGTAGGCTCTGATTTCGAGGAAGAAGAGATAGGAGAAAGATGGCTATATGGGCAACCAAGAGTTCCACAGAGGGTATGGAGAGAGAGAATGCGGTGGCCAGAGGGAGACATGGGCTTAATGCAAGTTTTTTGGTTGTTCATTTTAACCTGGTTGAACTGAGCATGTTTAAATGCTTTCCACAGAGAAAATGCGGTCATAATAGTGAGACCCCTGTGATTGTGTGATGCGATGGGATGTAAAATATGAGAGCTGAACAGGCGTCTCTTCCATTCTAATTGGAGGGAAAGAGCAATGGAAGAGGGTAGATGTAGGTGAATGTGTAGGTTTGCTGGGGAGTGGAGGGCATTCCCACCTGATGGCTCTTGTTTCTTCCCTGTGAAGTAGGTGGCTGAGTCACCTGCTGAGGGTCAGGGACAGTAAACCACACTAGAGGGAGTTGTCCAGGCAACACAGGATTTCCGGATGGTTGTAAGGGCGCAGTTGAGATTGGCTGCCCTGAGTTTAAAATTACTCTCATCAAGGGCATTCATGATTTTTTTCCCCCAGCTGCACTAGACATCTGGCCACAGATGTTGAGAAGGCAGAAGGATTAATATCTCAGGGGACTTTCTGCACAGGGGTGATAAAATAAATGGGCGAAGGGAACTGAAGATATTATCAAAAGAGCAATTGCAGTGATAGAACACAGAATCTAAGTTGGAAGAAAGTGAAAACGGGGGAGTAGATCCACTGGGAAAAAGTCAAGAAACCAAAGGATCAGAGACGCTCAAGTGGCTGATGGACTGACATATTGACCATGAGTGAGAGAATGGGAAGAATTGGAGGGTAAGGCTCACCAAGTGGTCTATCTGAACTTATTTCAAACACGGCACAATTCTGGGTGTTGATGAAGTCCAGAATGTTGCACTGGAATGAGTGGCTGAAGCACAGTGAAGAAGATCAAGAACTGAGAAGCTATGGCATTGGGAGGGTCATGAATATGGCCTGTGGCCCAATTTGTGAAAATAGAGGTGAATGAAAGAAGTGCTTTTCAAACTTCAATGTGCACATGAATTCCCTTATTAAAATGCAGGGGATATTATTAAAATGCAGATTGTGATTCAGTAGATCTGGGGTGAGGATTGAAGCTCTGCATTTCTAACAAGTTATCAGGTGATGCCAATGCTAGTAGTCTGGGAACAACACTTTGAGTAGCAAGACACTGGATAACCCTACCATTGACTTCCATGATACTCTCTTCTTTATTAAAACAATCCTCTCTCCCACTCTGTTGAAGGGAGTGGTCCTTAGAAGATATGTTCTACCTGGTTGGCTGGTTGGGGTGGAGGACCTAATGCAAGTAGAAATCAATTCATAATCTTGCCTTAGCCAATCGAAATTTCTCATGAGAATCTGAACTAAAAAACAGAGACCGAGACTGCCAAGTAGTGGTGGGCATTGGAGCTATAAGATCCATTTTCCAAGAGTTTAGCACCAAAACAAGCTAAAGCCATATGTAAGTTGAAGTTTCAGGGAGTAGTCGTTATGAGGAAGCTGGTTTTTAGGAAAAAGAATGGAGCAGAGGCACAGAAAACGGATGAGTCAAGAATAAGCAGCTCTAGAGCAAGAGGGTCATTTTCTGACTCAATCTTCCTTCTCAAATACAGTTGCTCCCTGACTAATGATGATTCAACTTACAATTTTTCAACTTTACAATGGTGGGAAACTGATATGCATTCAGTAGAAACTATACTTCAAATTTTGAATTTTGATCTTTCCTAGGCTGGAGATATGCGGTATGATGCTCTCGTGACGCTGGGCATCGGCAGCAAGCGCAGCTCCCAGTCAGCCATGGGATCACAAGGGTAAACAACTGATACACTTACAACCATTCTGTACCCATAGACCATTCTGTTTTTCACTTTCAGTACAGAATTCAATAAATTACATGAGATATTCAATACTTTATTGTAAGATAGGCTTTGATGATTGTGCCCAACTGTAGGGTAACGTAAGTGTTCTGAGCATATTTAGGGTGGGCTAGGCTAAGCTATGATGTTCAGTAGGTTAGGTGTATTAAATGCTTTTTTGACTTATGATATTGTGGACTTATGATGGGTTTATTGGGACCGTAACCCCCTGGTAAGTCAAGGAAGATCTGTATATGGCCTCTCTGGCCTGCCTTCTTGACTCTCCTCATCTCCTTGGCTAATCCATACTCTTCTTTGGGTCTTAATTTAGAAGGCTCCTTGAGAAAGCTTTCTCTGCCACTTGAATCTAGTGGGTGCCCTCCCATGTATCCCCCCAGCACCCCATAGTGTGCAAATCACAGCACTGGTCACCATTTATGACAATTACCATTTGGATACTTATTTGCCAGGTGACATATATTCTCTATTAAATATTTTTTTTTTCAAAAACTGGTCGAAGTTAGAAATTCTAGTTCCATTTATATAAGAAGGATCTCAAGAGAGGTTAGATAACTTGCCCAAGATCACATCACTTGTAGATGGTGGCATCAGGGTTTGGGAGCAGATAAGACCAACTTTAAAGTTTGTGCCCTTAGCCGCTGTACCTGCTCCTTTCTCTAGATTGTAATCACTTATCTTCCACTCCAGCCTCAACACTATGACCCTGCCTGTCTCTTGACAACTGTATGACCCTATCTAGCAGTTGCCTGGTACATAGCAGGTTCTCAAATGCTGAATGAATGTGGCTGAACGTGAGTGAATACAGTTACTTGTTGGGCCAGTCAAGCTTCTAATAGAACTGGGTGCAGGACTTTGTAACATTCCTGTTATAACAAAGAGAAGATCATTTATAAAATATATGACTGGTAGATCAGATACGTACTGAACCTGATTCTACTCAGTGTTGCAAATTCCAAAGCCATAGCTATGTGATTCTTAGTTCATCCCTTTTCCTAAACTGTTGAGGGACGGCCTGGAAGCACTGCTCGGATTTGAAGTGTTAAAACGCTACAACGTTCCAACACCAGCTTTCCCTGCACACAAACGTTGTCAGAGCTCTCTTCAGTCTAGGCGCTATAGTGTCCAGGGAATCGAGCGTGGCTGCGTTTGTTTCGTAATACTTATAAATGACCCCAAACGCAGAGTGACGCTATGTTGCCTATGAGGCCTGTCCACCTCCAGTTCTCTATGCTCTAAAACCCGGAGAAGAGGTTGACACGTGAAACGTTCTCCGTGGCTGCAAACATGCTTAGTCAGCACCATCACTAGCAGGATGAGTGGACAAGTCAAGAAGTACCTAGCACGTATTATCTCCCGACTGCTTCTGTAAACGACATGGGCTTCTCATCACAGAGTAAACCTAGACAAACATACAAACAACTTTAAAGCAAACTTATCAATGACCCCCGTGCCGTTCTAGTTGTGCAAAGACTGGAGTGGTTAAAGCAGGCTGGTTGTTTTTAAGATGTTTTCAGCCAAGCGCAAAGCTATCCTTAGAAATGTTCTTTGCCCACGTGGATCGCGCAGACACTAATAACGAAGGGGCTGAGAAACACGCAGCCGGGGAGATTGGCCGGCCCACGGGGAATATACTGGCACCTCTAGACATAAAGCTCTGCAGCCAATGCGGCGCCTTGGCACGCGGGATTGGCGGCCTCGGCCGTGACGTGGCCTGGGCGGGCGGAGTCGGTTTGCGACAGTGGCCGCGGGTCCGGCCTGGGGAGCCAAGAGGTGACCGGCAGCACGGCGCCCGGCCCACGAGCCCGCTCTCCGCCCGCCCGGAAGGTTTTTTTCTTCCCCACGCGTCTCGCCCGCGCCCCGGAGCCTCGGCACCGAATCCCGGCGGGGGTGTGGACCCGGGACCCGCGGTCCCCCGCGCGGCCAGGACTTCCCAGCTTGCGGGCGACCGGGGACGCGGAGGTTTGGCCTGCGGGCGCGGGGCGGGCGCGCGGCGTTTCCTGGGAGGGTGGCCAATCTGCAGGGCCGAGGCGGGGTTCTCTCTTCACGTGGCTCTGCCCAGGCCCTGCTCCAGCCGCGGCTCCTGCAGAGAGAGCGAGGAGAGCTGCGGAAAGCACGCGGGCCCGCGGGTAGATGCAACAAATGAGAGGGCATCCGAGTTGCTTGGCGCCGCCGCGGCTGCGACCTGAACCCGCAGGCTGCTGGAGGGGTCCGCGGAGCGCTCGGCTCTGCTCGGGCAACTTCATTTCTCCCGCCGCTCGGGAATTCGGGGTAGGGGGAGATGGAGAGTGCAGAGGGCTTGGAGAGCGGCTCGTAATGAATTCTTCCATGAAAACTTTTTTCCCCCCATGAAGCTATACATGCTCACCGCAGCAAATTTGGAAAGCATGGGAAATCACTGTGTAAAGAAATGGGGGTGGAGGTGGGGGTGGGAATCCTGTGTAGTCCCGGGGGCGAGGGGAAGCCGATCTGCTCCGCGAGCTGCAGCGCCGGGCGAACCGTGCGCCGCGAGCCCGGCCGGGCTGAGCGCCGAGATTTGGGGAAGTGGGAAGTGCCCAGGCGGGGGCGTCCCGCGGCGAGTCGGCCACGCCGCGTTGGTTTCCTTTCACTTCCTGCGGCAGCTGCTCAAGATGAGGAGGAGAGCCCGGCTGGGGCGGAGCGGCCGCGTCCTGCGGCTCTGAGCGCCCACCCACCGCGGCCGCCGGGACTTCCCGGACCCACCTGGGGCGTCGGCTATGAGTGCGCGGTGACGAGGCGACCTTGGGAGTCGTGGACCTGAGACTTCGGCAGGTGATGCTGGCTCGGTTTTGAGTGGCTTGGGGAGACTGAAGAAACCCCAAAATGGAGGACTTTTCTACTAGGACCTACGGCACCAGTGGCCTGGACAACAGACCTTTGTTCGGAGAGACGTCGGCCAAGGTGAGTGCGGACCGGAACCCCAGGCCTGGGTGTGTGTCTGTGTGTCTGCCTGCCTGCCGTCCTGCCCTCCTGCCCAGAGTCCCGGCTGGGTCCCTCTGCCACCCCTGAAGGCACTTGTAGGAAGAAAGATTTGGTTCATCAACCCCGCTTCCTTCTCAAGTTTGCCCTGCCACTCGTCTCCTTCTTTGGCACAAGGTGGAAAAGTTCAAAAAGTTCTGTGCTGTTGGGGGCCCTTCAGGGGAGTGCGGAAGCCGCTCTCGGGAGGAGGGGTGGCTGTGATGTTTGCACATCCAGCTGGAGTGCTGACCTTCAAGAGGCTTCAGATGTGCGCCCAAGGCTTTCCCTGGAGCCGCAGAGAGGTGCTTCTGATCTCTGTTTATCTAGAGCCGTTAAGGGTTACTGCTGAGGCAGTTGAGCAAAGAGGAGGCAAAGGAGTGAAATGAGGGTTTCTTTGATGGCTCTCCATTCCAGAAAGAGATCAAAGGGTCTCTGGACCCAAACAAACTGTGGTACATTATTGTAGGCTTTTAAAAAGTATACTGCCTTCTCACAAGCTTAATCATGTGATGTCCTGGGCCAGTAATTGGAGAGAGCTCTTTTCCTATTCTCAGCATTAACTTTCTGAGTCGTTTTGGCAAGATTAGCCTGTTTTTTTTTCCGCCTAGAAAGCGGCATTGGTGATCTTTGACCCCTGACAAGGTGCTTTCAGCCTCCCAAAAAGTAGGGCACAGACTGAGTCCAGAGCTTCTTGGGTTTCTCAGCTTTGGCAGGGACCTCTAGCAGAAAGCATAGGGAACTTGCACACCTTGCCCTCTGGGGCAGATCCTTGAATTTGGCAGCTGCCAGCCTGCTACAAGACAATTACTTTATTTTTTAAATTCCATGTGGATTTTGCTTTCTCTTCTCGAAGTGTCTTAATAAGAAAATGTTTTCAGCTTGATCTCTAGGAAGATGCACCTTATTTATCTTGTGGTTTTGCACAATCTCAACCCACAGTGCTCTTGGTTTGAGAAGCATGGCTCTAGTCCAGTAGACGGTTCTATTTCTGCTAATGTTATTTAGCATTATGTGTTAGGCCCTGGGCATCCAAGGAACCCAGTTAGGTGGGGGAAATATGGAAACAAATGTGCTGCGGTCATTGTGTGCCATCTGTGCTGTGACAGGGGCGGAGAGAAGGCTTGTTGGGGTACAGAGGAGAAACTGGTCGCCTTTATTTGGGCAGCTTGGGGAAACTTTAGAGGGTGGCTTCTCCATTCAGAGTCTCTGGTAGCCTTGGGCTTTCAGATATGAATGCCCCTAAATTGGGGTTTGACTAGAAGAGGATTTGGGGCCTGGAGAATGGAGGCAGCTCACTGCTTGAAGGGGTTGGACGCAAGGCATCTGGCTGCCAGCTGTCCTGGAAGCTGGAGGTTTAGTATCTCCCCCACGTGCCTGGCACACAGATTGGGGTTCTGGGTGATGCAGACTTCTGACCTCCTTCAACCCTGAGTACTGAGGTAGGTGACTTGGTAATGGACTTGTTGATTCATATAGACGCTTAGAAATATTGATGTTTTCTGACTTGCTTGGGCCTAAATAGTAAATGGCTGTAAGTTTCCTATTGCCTATGATCCATTTGAAACTCATCCAAGAACTTGACTATTCCAAATGTGTCTGTGTTTATTGCATACTTAACTAGACCAGAAAATATAGTCCTGGCATTAGTTAGGCAACTTTAGGCATTGTAACAGTAGATTCAGCTACTCAGAGAAAAAATTAAGAATAATGTGTAATTCCGGATCTCTCAAACTTGCTCCCTTTAGCTCCCTCTGTGAGGCTGACAGAATGATTGGATGTAGAGAAATTTAGAGAAAGGAGAGAGACCTCTGGTCGGAGGATGGGAGAAAACATCATGTTTCTTATAAATTGAGATCCCAGATCTGAAGATGGGGGGTCATCCATTGTTATTGACAGCAAATGATTCTATTCGAGGGCCTGAAGTGGGCAAGGCACAGGAATGGGGCCTCAATAATGAAGGGATAGGACACATTACAGTGGAGCCATTCTCACAGAGGACAGTCACTACCAGAGCAGGGTGCATTCCTGGGGACCCTGGGAAACCCGTCACTGGCCCCTGTGTGCAGGTGTTCCCAGCTTGCTCTTTTTAGATGCCAGGAAATGACACCTCAGCCACTTCACAGTGGAAACTTAATATTAATGAACTACCACTTCTGAGGAGAAAATCCAGAAAGGGGAAACCCACTTCTTGCCATAGTCTGACAGGTCTTCTGAGCTTTTAACAATCTTATTTGCCTTATAACAGCTGACCATATATAGCCTCTCAATTTTGAATCTAGAAAGGACCAGAGCTTTAGGTCCAATCTTTAACTTTAAGTCAAAGACGACTGAAGCCCACAGAGCAGAGAAACGTCTAGAGGGAAGCTGTGTTTCCTCAGCACCAGGCAGCGTGCTAGGCATTCAGTTTTCCTTGTTCGATCAGCCAGTTCCTTTGTAAGATGGACGTTGTTATTCCTCTTTTACAGCTGAGGAAGCTGAACCACAAAGCAGGCTGCTTGTTCAGTCACAACTAATTCTCTTCTGATGACATTTCACCAACTCCTTTTTGTGAGTTGACTAGGAGAGTAAAATAGTAGATTATGCAGTTGGTGCACACACTTCTACAAGCACTGTGAATATCCACGTGCTGCTGCCCTTTCACAGGAAATGGGTGACCTGGTGTGCCCAAAGTCCTGGAGTGAGTGCAAGACACTGGACTCGACAATAGAACAGTGAATACATAACCCAGCGGGCCTTGAGCAGCACGCTCGTGGGCACTCCTTGAACCAGCTTCTGTCTTCACCTGTGCCGCTGGCACATACTGATTTCAGTTACCAAACTCCAAATTTATTGTCTTTACCTGATGTTTAGGACTCTAACTTTACAGGTAGAGCCATGGAGTGAGAGGCAAAGTAAAACAGTCTTCTAGTGTTATGTAAACATCTAAGGGATAATAGACAAAAAAGGAAGATTTTTTTTTTTTTTTTTTTTGCTGAGGAAGATTGGCCCTGAGCTAACATCTGTGCAGATCTTCCTCTGTTTTTTTGTATGTGGGTCGCTGGCACAGCATGGTTTGATGAGTGGTATAGGTCCCTGCCCAGGATCCGAACCCAGGAACCCCTGGCCGCGGAAGTGGAGCACGTGAACTTAAGCACTATGCCACGGGGCCGGCCACAGTTGTTCATTTTTTGTAAGAAATGTATCCCTTATTCCTTGATACCTTTGGAATTACGTATTGCTAGGTGGCCTGTATTATGAAGCCTGGTCAGAATGTCCAGATGCTTTTCTCATCGTTTTTATCCATTCCCAAGTTCTGGGACGTAGAACCTATCTTTCAGGCGAAAAACAAACGCTGCACAAATTCCACGATAGTACAATATATCTGTGCTATAGCTTGGCATTTTCTAGAATGCTATCCAATAGAAATATAATGTGAGCCACGTATATGATTTTAAATGTCCTAGTAGCCGTGTTAAAAAAGTATAAATGGGCCTGCCTTGTGGCGTAGCGGTTAAGCGTGCACACTCCTCTGCGGCGGCCCAGAGTTCACAGGTTCAGATCCCGGGCGTGCACCGAGCACCACTTGTCAAGCCATGCTGTGGTGGCATCCCATATAAAGTGGAGGAAGATGGGCACAGGTGTTAGCCTAGGGCCAGTCTTCCTCAGCTAAAAGAGAAAGATTGGTGACAGATGTTAGCTTAGGGCTAATCTTCCTCCCACAGACACACACACACACACACACACACACACACACACACAGTATAAACAGATGAAATTAATTTTAATAATATATTTTATTTAATTCCATGCATCCAAAATACTGTCATTTCAATGTATAATCAAAATACCATCATTTCAATATATAATCAATATAAAAAGTGGAGATTATTTACAATATTTTTTTGTACTAAGCCTTTGAAATCCAGTATGTATTTTTCACGTACAGCCCATCTCAGTTTGGACTTCCCAACCTTTCAGGTCCTCAGGAACCACGCGTAGCTAGTACTACCATATCGGACAGCGCGGGTCTAAAGCAAGCGAATTATTAGTTACGGTGGCTCCGTAGTCATGTTCGTGAAACATTTTTCTTCACTGTGGGACTTCTCAGAACCTTTAATTTGCTAGTTTTCATTGTGACTCTAGTTGCAGAGGCTGGGTAAGTAGTACTTCCTGTGCTGTTGGGGTGGTGCAGCCTTTTAGCACTGGCACAAGGCCTTACTCAGTTCTTACCTCCCCCCAACCAGGAGCATGCATGAGAAGAGTTTCTACAGAACACCCTCTGGGAAATGTTGCTCTAGGAATCCCCATCCCCTGCTCCGCCCTTCCTTCCCCTAGTGTGCACTAAAACCAGGAGATTTGCCAGCTGACTGCCAAATCATTGGAAATCTATTTCATCCTGTGGATTGGTGAACCTAGGAGGGGAAGGAGAGGATGGTTCTCTCTGGGGAAGAAAGCAAACCCATATCCCAGAGCTGGTGCAAACATGAAAAGGAGGAACCCTACACTTCGGTGGAACATAGTGTCTACCGGTTGCTAGACCAGCCGATTCTATTGCTTGTCACTGACCACAAAATAGGTGATTCATCCTCTAAGAAGGGTGAAGCTGTAGAAATAGTTTGGGGTGATGGATGCCACGACTTTTTCTTTCCTACTATAATAAGTTTTCTTTCCCCCTTCCCAGACCAGAAGACTGGGGATGTCTGGGGGTTGGGTTCAGGCATTTGTGTATTTAGAAATCTCCTCAGAGGATGCTGGTACATGGGGAGGGTGACATCCCCTGGTCTCACCCATGGTCTGTGGAAGCCCAGTCCAGGCCGGCACCTCTCCAGGGACCCTTTTCCTTTAGCTGCCTCCCTGCTCTTGGTAAATGTTCTTTCTGTAGTGCCCTCTCCAAATATCCGAATCCTGCTCAGTCTAATTCTCTGCTTTAGAACCTTCCTTTCCGCCCAGCCTACCTCGCTCCT